TCACGTACATTACCTGGTATTGGATATGACGTCAGAAGCGAGTAGAGATTCGCGCCGACACAAGCCTTTATGTCGCTGTAAATCATTTCTCGTCGACGAAGCCGCGTCACTTCAATCAAGAGAACTCTTGAAACGCAGCGTAAACCTCGTCGCGGATCCGACGACGCAATCCCTGTCATTATTCGCGGTTTTACGGGAATAATGACAGCTGTCGAAGCTCTCTGAAATCTGAAATAACTTTCAAGCTGCGGTCTCTCTATGCGCTATTGACGTCGTAACCAAGATGGCTGAGGTGGAAAACTATGTACAGTAGGCGCCAATAGTGCCGTAACATGTGAAATTGGTCGCATTGGGGACTAATAATAGCTAGACACATCGCATCAGACTGCTCATGCATCATGACTGTTAGTTCAAGAAGGAACCGACATTATTTTGAAATAGTGTCCACACACATCTGTGTTTAACAGTTCTAAATGCAATTTATAAAAGATTGTAGATATAATTTCCAAACAAATATTGTCGGTTTCTTCTCTAACTAATAGTCAGTGATGCATGAATACACAGAGAAAAATATCGCTCTACTGCCAAGAAAAGCGATTACTCAATTTATTTTTCTTTTTTTAAGTAATAGTTTTCTTCAGCAAAGAATATAATTCTTGATAATAGTCTTAAATTATACTCATCACAAGTGTTAGAGAATCTCATTATCATATACTCAAAAGAAGAATTTATTTTCTCTTCAAGAATATTGTAAAGTTGTATCAAAGAAACATCAAACTTACTTTACGTCAACTCTTGTAGTAAGCAACCCAAATATTTGTTTTAATTTAATATTCTTGACTAAAATACTGCACTTACTAAAATTCAGAATATATTAAATTTAATGCTTGTGATGAACTTATGATATATTTGCGGATATACAAACTTATGATATACTTAAAATAAATAATATTTACTTGAATACAGTATACATTTTTCTCTGTGTAGCTTAATGTGCGTCTAATTATTATTAGTCCCGAATGTGACCAATTTGATATGTTAAGGTACTGTTAAGGTACTGTTAAGGTAAGTTATTATTAGCGCCTACTGTACAGTCAACAGTTTTAATTTACGACGACAGAAATACGCGAATATATATTATTCTCACGTTCAAAGCTTAGGCAAATCACTTCTACTTAGGGAAATCACTTAGAACCCTTACAATGGGTTAATAAAATGCAGGGAAGTGACGAAATGACGAAAATCGTCGCTGAAAATCCTCGTGAAATTCAGCATTGTAGCTGCACTTTCTACATTGATGCGGTATGTTAATATAACAGCGGAGGTTTATGGTAATTTTTCCGTAAAGCTGGCTTTTCTCAGAGCCAAAATGGAAGAACAGTTTTTCAGACATAAATTCGAGAAAACTCTGCTCACGCGAATTTTCTCCTTGCTAACGTCCTAATCCGTAAGGTAGATATCTGATATTGCCGAGCAATAAACGGCAATGAACGGCGTAAAAGAAGGAAAAGCGGATAAAAAGTACGATAAATGAGAAAAACGAGTTAAGCCAAGATCTGGAATTTACAGAGTAATTTTATATTAAGTTGTAGAATCTTGTCTATCGCACTCCTTTTGATCAATTTTTAAAATCAATGTTTCTTAACGTGCGTAATGCAAGAAATATTTACAATCTTTACGTCTTAAATAAAACAGCAAAAAATTAAAGATTTTTTAGCAATTAGATTTAACGAGAATATTTAACAAAATATTATTCTCTCTCTCTCTCTCATTTAAATTTAAATATAAACTTCACTTTAACAGAATCTTATTTATGTTGATACTTAGCAGTTCTCTAAGCTATTTAATATTGAAAATTGAAAGATCCTGAGAGACAAAAGATAATTAAGAACGATAGGAGAGATCGACTTCGAAGTTTATGATCTCGTCAAAGTCTCGTCAAAGAATACATTTTGCCTTTAGAAGCTTGTTTTAGAATCGCTTTATATGCAAATTAGTCTAATAAGGTCTTAAGCCTTTATGAGAGATTTTACATTTATTATATCTATTTTATTTCCTTCAAGATATATTATCTACTTTATTTCGTTCAAGATTATATTTATTATATTTTTGTAGAATAAAATACATACGTTTCTCTTCGTTGATTCTCTAGCAAAAATTCTCTATCTGTTAATAAAATCTCAAATAAGACAAATTTATTTGACTTTAATTAGTAAATATACTCTCTGGCGGAATATCCAAAGCGAATCCATTTACTTTGCTCTAATTAAATAAGAAGCGGAAGAGTGCACGAATGTATTTGCAATGAAATTATCACGAATAAGTATTTATGACACCGCAGGGACACGCTTAATGTAACCATAGGCATTGAACTGAATTTTTACAAAAATGAATTTTTTTAATTAAACTTTATCTTCCTTTTCTCTCTCTCTCTCTCTCTCTCTCTGTTTCACAATATGATTAAATTTATTTAATAAAATAATTAAATAATTAATACGAAATAATTAATTAATACAAAAGATCGACATCTGATTGATGCACTTTTTGTTATACATTTGTAATGAATAATCTAGATTTAAATTAATGAAATTTTTATTTGAGATATACAAGACAATAGTTTAAATAGATAAGAATTCTAGCAATTCAATTTTTACATATATATACCCATAAAGATTCAAAATTAGAATCTAACAAAATTATGAAATAATATTTAAAATTATGAAATAATATTTAAAAAAATTCAAATTAAAATTCCTACATTTGATTCATACACATTTATCATACATTTATTCCGATGTAATAAATTTCTATAGAAATTACCGTATCGTATTCAAATAATTTTAATTATTTTATTAAAGCCGTCAATAAAAATATGAAAATGTTATAATTAATTATATCATACATAATTATATTGCATGTATATTGCATATTTGAAATTGATTATAATTAGTTGTATCACAGTTATATCACGTGCTATTAAAGTTTCATTCTAATTATATTCATACAAATATGAATACGTGTTCTTCTAAATGTAATTATGATTTTTATTTCCTTTATTAGATATTATTATTTTCAGAGAAACTTGCGCTGTTACGTTTTGATCAAACTACAAATTTTTGATACTATTTTTGATTGTCTGATTAAGAAAACATAATAAGCACATATTTTCACATTTATGTTTAAATATTTTAATTAATTAAAATTCAAATAATATAACTTTAATAATATAGTGTAATATAAATAACTTAATAACAAAGTGTTCCAAACAACACAATATAAAAATTATACCGATGCCTTTAATTGAGCTTCACATTATTATATTAACTTGCGAATCAGTTTAGAACGTTGGTATCTTTTTACATAGTCTTAATTAGCGGATATATGCTTAAATATTCTTCTTTCACCTTATGCAAATTTGCTTAATTAAATTAACCATAGCAAAGTTTGCTGCATTAGAGTCAGAGTATACGTATCTATATTGCATGGAAATATCATGTTGAAAATAATGTGTGGAGAAATATAATCTAAATATATAATTTGGCGAACTATAAATAGATTATTCTAATAGGAATTTTGTCAAAAAATTAATAATAAAAACCAAATAAATTTCTTTGAGTCAAAGATAAGATTTCTTTATCTTTTTTAAGTATTTTTAAAATCCGATTCGCGCGTGTATAATTATTATAAGACAATTATCATCGCAAGCTATGTCCATTATTGCGGATTAGATTCTGCGCAACATGAAACATTCACACTACACTGTTCTAAAATAGAATAGCGGAAAGGCGAAAAAATATATACAAAGATTTTTAAAATACAAATTTAAAAATTCTATTTTTTTTATATAATTTGTTTAAATTATTTTTCACAGAATAATAACACGCGACAATTTAAGCTTTTAAATTTCAATTTTTTTTCTAAATTAGAATCTATTTATATCTAAATTAAGAGTCGGCAATAATTTTAAATTCTTATAAAGTCTTGCGTTAAACGTTAGCTCCGACTTTTATGTGTTTGACAGATAATTTCGGCGCGACGGCGTAATTATGAAGGTTAAAAAGTACTTCATTTTCAACAAGAAGGTACTCTGAAGACACTTTTCGACGTCAGTCGAGCATTTCGAGACATTTCGCGGTGCATTGCTACGCGACCGAGAGGACTCGCGCGGACTCCTGAGGATTTCTGATTCCCGACCGGAAGGAAAGAGTTAACGTTCGAAATCCCGGTCACCCGGAGAACGAACGCGTCCGGGAGGAGAGAATCGGAGAGGGTTACGCGAGCCTGGGACAAATGCTGGGACGATCGATCGATTATACGAGGGAGGAGGACAGGAGCGCGGAATAACTCGGAGTGTTTTTCTCGCGGCTGCAAGCTCTCGGCCGTTCAATCGTTTAATCCGCAGGTACACGAGACGAGAAATAATGCTTTCGTTGTGTGTATTTAGCATTTGTGTTTATATTCTATCTGAAATAGAATAGAATGCCACTTTATCTCTTCGGATGACATTAAATATGCAGTTTTAACGAGCCCCCTTGAATACATTATAGAATAAGCTTACAACTAAAAGAAACATTTTTTTTTTTTGCATTTTATTATCAATCTCAGAAACCTTAAATTACAAAAGTGGCATTGCACAAAACGAACAAAATTTTCCTATCGATACTTTTAAATGTCTGAGCATTGAACTCCAATGTGTAGCAATCGCGAGTTGAAAAAGGTCAATTGCTATAGAAGTCGAAAACATTTATTCCTTCATGTTTATTCTCTTCATACGATATGATTCTGAACCCGCATTAAAACGCTAATATTTTTTTCTTTCATATATATATTCTGTATATTTTTGTTATTTATCGCGTATCATTCTCATTTTATCTTTTATCATGGGCCTTTAAAATGCCAGCAAGATAAAGTGGATTTGAATACAATAGCCATTTACTGTTGTATATAGTTTCAAATGGTCTTTCTTTAAACATTAACGGAAACTACGGTCTACTTTGCAGTTCTCCCGAGAAGTCCAGCAAAAGTATAGTCGGACGATCTAGATTCCGGGGGTAGGGACAAAAGTAAACGGACAGGAGAGGGGCTGGCTCGCAGAGTCGACGATCAATCGTCGATCAATCATAAGAGAGGGAAAGTGGTGGTTGGGGCGACGACACGTGGGGATAAGACACTTCGGGAACGTTCAACGGTTGGATCCGAGCACGCGGTGTTTCAATGAGACAAGGAGATGAGGACGAGGAAGTCGTTGCTGCTGATCGTTCTGCTTTGCGTGGTGAGCTTGGCGCTCTGCCAGGAGAAAAGGTGGTCGAAGTCGACCACGAAGCACCGGGATAAAAGCTCTAAGAACAAGCACGATCGCGATTACGCGGACAAGACGAGGGAGGAGGAGGATTCGGAGGAGCAGTTCGATCGAAACTCGGCCTACAACTTCGGCTTCCTGCCCGACAAGCCCTATAGAAACAACAGAGCGATCGACGACTCCAAGTATGTTAGAAACACACGTATGATATATTAAATAATATATTTTATATTATATATATTTTTTTGTGAAAAAACATAGATGTATATCTGATCGATTAAATGAAAATTATTTAATTTGTAAATGATCTCGATCTTCTTAGAGTCAAAGCGTACTTTGCGTTTGTTCGAGATGTCAGCGAATTCTTTCGTAATCGGAGATATTGTACGTGATATCCGTCTACTTCTCGAATTTTCAAAACGAAAGATGCCGCGTATGCAGAAATTGCCTCTCGAAATAGAGCAAAGCATTCGATAAATTTCATACTTGCCGTACTTTGGTATTTATTTGAATATGATGATAAGCGCAAAGTAATTTTATTTTAGCCAATAAATTCCTTTGGAGATCAATTATTACGTGTACATAATATCGTCGAGATTGCGACGCGGCGATATTCTCTGCACTCCTGTCGCTATTGAAATTCTCTTTGATCTTATTAAAGTAATTAACGGCTTTTAAACGCCTCGCTAATTTTACTTGGTTGAAGTGATTCATGGTATTACGCACAAAAAGCAAGTTCATTTAAATGCAGGCTCTTTTAAATCTATGCAGAATATATTTGAGCATTTACGTTTTCCCAACAAAGGAGCAATTTTACGTTAAAAATTCAGCAAAAATGTGAACGCATGTATTTTATTTTATTAAAAACGTGTGTGAAATTTACCATTCATCAGAGTTATTAACTGTCAAGGTATTTAAAAACAATCAATTTTTGACGAAAATTTCGACGGCAACATCATAATTTTGCGCAATATTGACCGATAGGAACTAATTTTAAAGTTCAATAAAACAGTACAGAGATAGAATCTCGATAGTTCAAAGTTTCTTCCAATAATCGGATACTTGAAGTAATTCGTAAAATTCCGTAAATCGAAAAGAGAATCGACAAATTCATTGCATGCTGTAATTAATGAAAACGCGATTTTTCCAGATCTATGGATGTCGGGATGCCCAAGGACAATCAGTCTAGTCAATCGTCGAATCTGCCCAAGTCTCACGTGAAATCGAGCGAGGAGGTGGGACGCGAGAAAGGACGACGACCCAAGAACATAACTATCGCGGATGGCATTTGTCAAAGCGTAGATATCAGGAATAACGTTAACAATTTCTCGCTATTGAAGGAATGCCACGTGATCGAGGGTTTCCTTCAGATCGTGTTAATGGAGAACAATACCGAGTCCGATTTCGACAATGTCACTTTTCCGGAATTACGCGAGATCACCGGCTACCTTCTTTTATATCGCGTAGACGGTCTGAAGAGCCTCACCAAACTTTTCCCAAATCTCGAGGTCATCCGGGGCGATATACTTCTTACGGATTACGCCTTCATGATTTACGAGATGAAGAACTTGCAAGAGGTAAGATTTTCGCGTGAGCTCTTCCTTCGGCTTTTCTTTTGTTCCTTTTCCTGAATTTTTATCTTCCTTAATTTTGCCACTTTTTCTGTCTTCCTTAATAATGAAATTAGCTTAAAGCAGAATTTTAATTAAATTATAATTCTTAACGTGTACTCTAAACTTCTTCGTGTTATCCCACTTTTTATGCTCATTTAAAGTGAATCTAACATGAATCTAACATGGACTCTATTACTAAAATTAATTTGGCACTTTAAATAATTATAACAACTTTTCTCTGCGTAAATTGAAAAGTGTTCTCTGATATCTTAGTTTTAAATTCGCAATTACTTCAATTTTTAGCTATTATCCTTGCAAAACGTTATACTTTTTATATTTTCCTTTTGTATTTATTTATGATCGATTCACTTGTATTTTATTTGTCGAAGAATTTTTCTTTCTCGTTAATGAATAAATCTCTTAAATGAATAAATTAATTAATTCTGATTATATACTCATCAATGTTGTTAATATATTTCGCGGATGTTATTTATTTATAATAGATTCACTTGTATTTTATTTGTCGAAGAATTTTTCTTTCTCGTTAATGAATAAATCTCATAAAAATCTCATGATAAATAAATTAATTAATACTGATCATATACTCATCAATATTTTTAATATATTTCGCGGATGTTAATTTTAAGTGGTTATTAAATTTGGGATTTGGAGAAAATTCGTATCTATTTTTTATCCTACACATATCTCACCGTAGAAGAATTATAAGAGTTTTCGATGCCCGAGTGCGAGTTCATTGTATTTAATATTGACATTTAATGATACACGACATCGTAGAACTGCAATTTTTCATATCGCGCGTATGTTAGGAATTTTATTCGTACGCGCATGTGACGCTCGTTTGTCACGTAGAATTCATATTGCGATCGTTCATTCCCACGCCGAATCAAGTCCAGTCAGTTCGAAGGTGTTGGTATGGTCCAATTTGTTGCTGTAGGACCTGGTTAAATGGTCTGGGTCAAGTGACGTTAATCAGTCAATCAAATTAACCGGCTATTCGACCTTTGACTCACAATTCCACGAAACTTTTTCACAGATCGGTCTCACCAGTATGACGAAGATCTCTCGGGGCGGTGTACGCATCGAGAAAAATCCCGCTCTCTGCTTCACGAATACTTTAAATTGGAGCGTTATCGTGCCGGCAGGCGAGAATTTCATTAAAGATAACAGGAATGAACAGAATTGCCCGCACATGAAAGGTGATAGATGATTTAAAAAAAGAATTTTTTTTTTTTAATATAAAAGTATAACGAAAATGCTAAACTTTATCAGAGAAAAGATTGCGATTGCGATGCACAAATGATTATAATATTATTATAGGATGTTCTCAGTGTCCTGGCGGTTATTGTTGGACCGCCCAACACTGTCAGTTACTAGAGAGGTCAAGATGTCACGAACAATGCCTCGGAAAGTGCTATGGCCCGAGCGACAGCGAATGCTACGTGTGCAAGAATTATCGTCACGACGGGAGATGCATCGAAAGCTGTCCACCTGAGTTGTAAGTAATTTTTGTACAAATGCAATTGCAATATGACGGAGTAAAATTCTAACTTTATAAGTTTATATATACATTTATATTTTCTCTATCATATTTATATCTTATATACAAATAAAATAATTAAAAAAAAGTAGACGTGCAAAATAAATCTATAGATTACTTAGCGATTACTTCGATTTAAATTGTGTAAATTATCCCAAATCGTTTATTCATTATTGTTAATTTTTAGTAAGTTGATGTGTCAATTTTTCCTTAATTTTGAAATTTACTCGATTGCTTCCTTTCTCTCTGCAACTCTTATTTCGAGATAATTAGAAATAAAAATTTTATTAAAATAGAAAATATGTTCAAGAGATCTAATGTTGAAAAGTAAGAAATTGCGAAAGAAGATATTAGTTTCAGATGTTTAGCATAAAATATCCCGAAATTTGCTCATAAGCCTGCATATTATACCTTACACTCTCGCGTTCACAGCTTTCGCACATAATGTCAAAAGGTTTCAAAGTTTTGTATGATATACATAATACATGTCCTATCTTTCGCACTCGAAAGATCTGTTCTACAGTGACATGGATTTTTCTGTTGGCAGATACGCGTATCTGTCGAGACGCTGCATCAGCAACGCCGAATGCCAGAAGATGAACCAGGTCAGAAGATTTTCTAAAACGGAAGAAACCTGGCGGCCTTTCAACGGCTCTTGCGTTACTCAATGTCCTGATGGTTTCGAGGATGATATCGACGAAAAAAATGTATGATATATTTGCATCTACTTATATTATGCTTCGCGCATTCTTTTTTTCTTGATTTTTCTTTTCTTGATTTTACATTACAGGCAACAACCTGTCGTGTTTGTAAAGGTCAGTGCCGTAAGATCGGAAGCGGCGCTATCATACGTCACATTTCGGACGCTCAGAGTTTTCGCGGTATAACGGTGGTTAAAGGCGCCCTAGAGTTTCAAATCAGAAATGGAAATCCGAATATAATGAACGAATTGGCAGACGCGTTTGGTTTAATCGAGGAGATAACCGAGTATGTGAAAATAACGCATTCCTTTCCGATCACATCCTTGGATTTCTTCAAGAAGCTTAAAGTGATCAAAGGCGAAATTTTGGACATTAATAACGCAAGCTTCGTAGTCCTGGACAATCCGAATCTCTCTTCGCTCTTCCCGCCGTCTCAAAAGATAACAATAGAAAGAGGCAGATTATTCTTCCATTATAATCCCAAACTTTGTCTCTCCAAGATAGAGCAATTCGGTAAAACGGTGAACATCACCAATTTCACAGATCTCGAAGTACAACCGGAATCGAATGGTGATAAAGTGGCCTGCAATATCGTTAATATAAATATCACGATAAAAGAGCGGGTCGCAGATTGGGTGGTTCTGAGTTGGGACAGCTACAAACCATCGGAAGGCCAGCAGCTGCTCAATTATTTATTAAATTACATAGAAACCGAGAATGAAAATGTAATGTATGAGGCGAATGCCTGCGGCAATAACACATGGCAGATCGTAGATGTTGGTACATCTGGCTCGAACTTGACCGTTTCGAAAAATGTTACGAATTTAAAGCCGTACACCAAGTACGCTGCGTACGTAAAAACATTTACGGCGAGGAATAAGAATTCCTTCATTAGTCCGGTGGGTCAGTCGGAGATTATCTTTTTCCGGACAAAGAGCGCGATACCCTCAGTGCCGACAAATGTGAGCACGACCGTAATAAGTGATAGCGAGATTCTGCTCAAGTGGGCCCCGCCAGTCTATCCGAACGGTCCCATAGGTTACTATATGATCTCCAGTACGATTCAATCAGACGACGAAGAATTAATTGCTTCCCGCGACTATTGCACCGATACCTTGATCACCAGCGAAATCGAAAAAGAGGAGATACACGAGGTGACAATTAAGACTCCGCTCATCTCGAATCCTAATTCCTGCTGTTCCAAAGATGCGAAGCTCGCGATTTCTAAGCAGTTCGAAATATTCTGTGATGGTAATATAACCCTCAGTTATTTGTCACCCGGCTGGAAGGATGATTGCGTCTTCAATACCTATAATTCACTAGATAGTAAATTTTACGACCTGGCAAATAATTTGTCCTCTGCGCAGGACAGGCAAAAAACAGTAATAAATGTCTCTTCAAGTACTATGGGTAGCAATGTCGTGATCAATCGTATGAACGATGAGACGGTCATATATAATGTCACTGCTGAACGTAATTCGTATCACTTGAAAGCATTACGTCACTATTCTTTATACACTATCACGATCGCCGCGTGTGGTGTGAAGATGGACAATAAGACAATGTGCTCGTCCATTCAATACGCGAACGCTCGGACCAAAATGCGGCCGAACGCGGACGATATTCATAATGTAAAGGTCCACGTCTCGAACGATACAATAGTCGAAGTCATCTGGGAGTCTGTCAAAGATCCAAACGCATTTACAGTCTCCTACACCATTGAATATACGAATTTGGACGTGAAGGATGCGAAAAAAAGCACCGAATGCATACCTTGCAATGCGACCACCGGTCGCAAAAGTATAACTGGACAAAAGTATAACAATCATTACATCAGGAACCTCAGTCCGGGTAGATACAGTCTGAGAATACGCTCCACATCGCTGGCAGGTGATGGCACATTCACCAACGTGATTTACTTTTCCGTCGGTCTATCGGATTACAATCAGATAATTTTGGCGACGCTGTTGACTCTAGTTGTACTACTCATCAGTATGATTGCAGCGACACTCTTTATCAAGAGTCATCAGAAGAAACGGACGCAGGAACGATTGATAGCCAGTGTGAATCCGGACATTACGGAGACCAAGTATGTCATCGACAGCTGGGAAGTTCCTAGGGAAAACGTCGAGATCCTGGAAGAGCTCGGGCTAGGTAACTTCGGCATGGTATATCGCGGTTATTTGGAGGGCACCATGCAGGTGGCCATCAAAACGATTTCCGAAAATGCCAGTCAACGGGAGAAGAATGAGTTCTTGAATGAAGCCTCGGTCATGAAGAACTTTTCGACGTGGCACATTATCAAACTGCTGGGCGTGGTCTCCATGGGTAACCCGCCGTTCGTCATCATGGAACTTATGGAGAACGGCGATTTGAAGACGTATCTACGTAGGATACGCGACACCCAAATGGTACCCGATGCGTCCAGAATAATGAGAATGGCCGCGGAGATCGCAGACGGTATGGCTTATCTCGAATCGAAGAAATTTGTCCATCGCGATCTGGCCGCGCGCAACTGCATGGTATCGAAGGATCTCGTTTGCAAGATCGGCGATTTCGGCATGGCAAGGGACATTTACGAAACCGATTACTACAAAATCGGCAAGAAAGGTTTGCTGCCGATACGCTGGATGGCGCCGGAGAATCTTTCCGATGGTGTGTTTACGTCTGATTCTGACGTGTGGTCGTTTGGCGTCGTTCTGTATGAGATACTCACTCTCGCCGAGATACCATATCAAGGCTTCTCGAACGAGGAGGTGTTGCATCACGTGTTGCACAAGGGTATGCTAAACATACCACGTAACTGCCCCGAGACTGTACAGAAGATCATGGAGAAGTGCTTCAAGTGGCGACCGAGCGAACGTCCTACCTTCATGGAGATCGTTACCGAGTTGGAGCCATTTCTAAATCAGGACTTTTGCGAGAAGTCCTTCTACCATTCGGACGAGGGAATCGAGATACGCAGTCTCGGTGTGAAAAAGGTCTACCATAACGCCGCACCGATTCGATTCCACTGGGGTCACGAGACCGCTAGGTGGGTGAAGGACTTCGAGGACAATGTGACGCTGCTCGATCAGATGAAGGCAGGCACCAGTCGCGGGCGGATCTTCAAGAACGGTTTCCAGCATTTTGGTAATGTAACTAACTTCGAGGATGTTCCGCTTGATCGATGAGATTAATCGAGTTATATATAAATTATATTAAGCGAGAAAATTTTAGCGCGAGAGAAAGATAACGCCGCTTGAAGCCCTCGTTGATCACCAGATTTGCGGAAAAACCTGTAGATATTAATGTACAAACAAATACTCAGGGCAATACGCGAGTGGTCCTGACGAGACTGTTGGACGAGAAAAGATGTTACCAAGTCGCTCGTTCGCCAACGCGGCAACAAGAGCTTCGTGTCCTTCTCTCGTTGCGGACCAAACGTAATTAGATCTTGACGGTGGATAGCAATGCTGGGAGAGATCCTCGGGAAAGATGGTGTTGTGTTCGTAATATAAACTAGGCCATCAAACAATAGATAGAGGTATATAAGCGCGTAATATTTCTATCTGGATCAGCTTGCTGAAACCAGCTTCATAGGTTCGTGTTTTCTTTCTCTTAAATACGCCCGGAAGTTCTGAGTCCTTTTGTCATGTATCGACTGTTCATTCCTTTCAGAGTTAATTTTTTCTATGTCCTTTGCAAACAAGTTCTGAAACAGCTATTCCCAAACAACGTGCGATAATCATGGAATTCCAAAAGATACTTTTGCCAATATTTCTACTTTATTAACATAATTTTATTTTCCATACTTTTTTGATTCTGGATCAAAGATATTCAGAATTTTTCATTTTTGATTAATCAAAAATTTTCATTTTTGATTAATCAAATATAACAATCGCTAAAAATATCGACCAGAATCTGGTGGATATTCTTTCGTTTCATTGCAATATCAGATACAAATATAAAATATATATGAATGCATATTCAATGAGTGTGAAGAGAGATCTCTAATAAAAATATACACACGATATATCGCCAAATGATAAACACGATGTACATATTAATTATTGATCTTGTTATAAGCTTATTATCTACATTGCATCGTGATCGTTTCGAGGAATGCTGTTTCAGGATTAAGAGGTGGAAGAATAACGATTTCCCAAACCAGAGTTCCTTGTCGCATCCGTATAAGTTATTACGACATATAATCTCAAGGTTGTAAATAATTACTCTAATTACACACAGTTATCGTAAGTAAGATAATAGAACTGGATGCAACATTTGCGCGTATAGTCCCTGTAATTAATTTATCGAGAGTTTAAAAAAAGACAAACTTTACCCTCGCAAGTGTAAATATAAAATTACAAGTTTCTCCCTCGCAAAAGTGCGGGGTACCTCGTAGATAATTATTGCAATAAGAGCGTGTCTACAATCTTTACAAGTCTTAAAAAAAAAAAATAAATAAAAGTTTAATATAGACCGACAGAGGAAGAAGGGAGGGGGTGGAGGTTGATGAGCGGGTGTAAGTCAGGAACATCGGTCAGATCACACGTTTAAGTTTTCTGCACGGCATGGAATTATAATATATAGATTTGAAAAATATTCTTTAGCCTCGAATCTCTTGCAGATACGGAATTGGATGATGTAAACAAACAATCAGTAGGTAGTAACGACAAACTAGATGATAGGTAGAAATGCAATACGTTGAGATATCTCATTAGAACAGGTCCTGTCAATATATTCTATTCTATGCTTTACGTTTCTTTGCAGAATTCCTTTGTCGTTCGTTCTATTCCTGATTGCGAACATGTGAGTTTACAGCAAACATTTGTATTTTATTCGGTGTGCTTACTTGAATCTCTCGTCATGACATCATATCTTGAAACGGTACGATAATCGCTTGGAGCATAGATTAACTAGGGCTGTGGAACGATTATACACATGCGTGAAATCTGACTCGAGAGGTTCGAAAACAAATTTCTCGCCCGACCGCAAACTAACACCCTTTTTGCTGAATACATCTGATACAGAAATTAATATACAAACATCTTTATTGACATGAAATCAAATTTATCTTTCTTCTATCTTTAAAAAAAAATAACACAAAGTATCTTTCGCGTTCGCGAAATATAATTATTCGATTAAACAACCACAATCCTCGCATTCATTAGCTCTAAAAATTCAGAATTAATGTAGATTTATATTTTATGTGCATATATTCTATGTAAATTTATATCGCATACTGATCTCTTTGTTTTCATTTGTGTAGTTTTTTACAGGATTTTTTGCATTTTATGTTAAAATATCAAATCTCTTTTACGTAAAGTAATTCAAAAAGAAATCATTTTTAATAGTATTAAGAGAAATTAATCGAAATTAATATCTGGAATTATATTATGAGTATTCTTTCTTTATTTTCCGCAATTATATTATGAGTATTATTTCTTCATTTTCTGCAATAATATTATGAGTATTATTTCTTCATTTTAATTACAGAAGGAAAATTTTTATTTTCCTTGTTTGCCTTAATACTTTAAATATCTTGGAAAAATTCATTTCAGAATTATGATAGGATCTACGATAGAGATTTCACAGAGAGAAAGAGAGAGAGAGAGAGAGAGAAAGAGAGAAAGAGAGAGAGAATGTGTATAAATAATAGAAAAATGCTTATGAGAAAGAAAGTATAATACCGAATTTTTTAATAATATATCGTATTCGTTGTCAGAGAGATTGTACAGTATAAAAATTATCATCTCGTTGTCCCGGTAAGGGAACAAGCCAATCTTCCGATTGAATAATAATGGTGAAAAATGTTGTACGTAGTATGAAAGAAAGAAGTGTGTATATGTGTGTGTATGTCACAGAGAGAAAAAAACAGAGAGAAAGAGAGAGAGACACCGCGCATCTAAATGCAATCTAGAGACTTTTAAATGTCGCGCATCGATCGTTCAACTCAAAGAATCGTCTCGAAGCTAGAAGAAATAACTTTCGAAAAATCAAAAAAAAATATATATATGTATCGATTGACGAAAGAGAATAACATACGCGTACAACAGAGAGATCAACTTGACGTATTTAAAAAAATTGCAAAGCTCGATTATTTCTCCACTTCGGATCGAAAATCAAACGATCGAGTGCCGATCTTTGCTAAATGCAGTCATATTTCCTTGTAAAGATAAACTTGGTATCGCGAAAAAAAATATCTGAAAATACTCGAGATGCTTGTGGGATGCACGAAAGAAGAATTCCCGGGGATTCGAGCCCCTCGCGAATATTTCTCTAACTGTTCCGCACTCCTTGGTCAGAGTAATAATCGCGTCATATAGCGAGACTAAGTGCACAGTAGTAATTAGTAATAACGACCGGCTTAATTGCGACGCGTACCGCGATGAAATGTAATTTCAACCGCTTTCCCGAGTAAGTAATAATCCCAATCTCTAAATTTCATATTACAGTCTCTGAATATTCAAGCATTACATTATATCGACTAAATCTTTTGTTCTTGTACAGCGCGACAGTCAACGCGATTCGGATAGAAACAGGTTTAATATAAATAGAGTTCCTTTAATAATAAGAATTAAACGTCACTGTATGCATGGAAATTAATCGTCGGCGATGTTACTGAATTTCAATTGGATTAAAGAAGTGGTCGATTCAAGAATCGCAGAAATATTTAGTTTATTTGAAAAGCTGCAAAATTTATTAAACGTATATGGCAATCTATGTCAACGTGAAATTAATATTTATGCATTTTTATTTACTTTTATTTCTTTTCAAATATTACGCGTCAAATTTATCGTTTGCCTGTTATGTAACGAATTGAGTACTAAACAGAAATCATTTCTGATTAAAACACGCATGTACGTACAATTTAATTTTTTGCTTTTCAACATTTTTGACGAATGAACTATAAAATCTGTAAGTACTGGATTTTTAGGTAATTTACCACTCTTTCGACGTCATATTAAAAATATATAAATGTCTTTATGATAGTTAAATTCGAATACCAACTCTTGACAGTATTCTTATTGCAAAGTTGCATTCGTGATGATATAGCGGTGAGATGAAGGTAAATAGGAATAAACGTCGTTTCTTGTATAATTCGGAGTAACATCATGTAGCTTTATTATGAGTATGCGCGTAAAAATAAAATTTATTTATATAAATATATATATATACATAAAACTAACGATTAATATTGCGTGTTTGTTCGCGCTTTAATATCTCAAAAAAAAATTAATTAAATAACGAAAATATTAGAGAATGAAATCATATATTCGAATGCTTAAAAAAAAAAATGTGTGACGATTCAAATTATATATAGAAACAGCGTTACTATTTATATCGCTCATCTTTGTATCTGTCATCGAGTATGCAAAAGAAAGAAAAAAGTATCACAAAGTTGATATATATATATATATATTTTTCACTTGTTGCAATTCGCCGATTGTTGGCACACATTGGGAGAGAAATCTACGACCGCGTGGACGGTTTACTATAGCAATACGATTAGAGAGTGTATTCTCGCTGCACTATAATATTTTACTATAACGGGCTAAGCTTAAATAAGGTTTAAAGGCAAATTTGCATTGTGACGTAACCGTGAAACATCTCGAGGCTGATTAATCGGTCGATTCCGACTGATCAGCTGATGGATGGTCTTTTTTCAAATTGGCGGTACGACGCGTTTAAGGTAATATTAATAATAATCATTATTCTGCAGCATTTAAGCTAACACGTGTATATGTCGAGCTGTTCTAAATATCACTAATTTTACAACATTAATATCTCCTTATAAATGTTATAGTTCTGCCGCAGCGTTGCTATAAAAGTAATATATACACACGTACATACACACATACACACAGCACACACATATTTAAGTATTTATTTTTTTCCTATTATGTGTGTATATATATATAAATATATATACATATATAGAATTTATATTTGATATCATATTATAAGAACTCGCTCTTAAGCTACATCAAGTATACAGCCTTTCCTTCGAGATGGCAAAACGCGTCGTGCTACGTCATGTACTGTATCGACCGCTTTCTCCACGAAGCTCTCGCTAGGAAGGCGCACTATAATTATATCAGGGTCTTAGAAATAGAATATCATCGTGTTCCTGCCTTTTTTTCCGCGAAGAAAAGGAACGAGCATTTCCTCATCACAGCTCGAACAGCGAAATGACGTTAGGAGAATACATAAGTAATTTCATTCTTTTATCACCAACTTTTTTATCGATTCAACGTCGAGCAATGAGATTGATTTCGTTTTCCGCTCGATTTCTTTCCCGCGACTGTTCACTTTATTTTATCAGAAATATCATCCCTCCTCTCTCGCTTTTTGTCTGGCGAGCAGCAAGATATGCATCGAAATGTCATTTTCGAACAATAACACACGTATATAAGGCCCCATTTTATTTCTTTGTCGAATCGCGTGCAAGCGTCAAATTACTACTGAATGATCAATTTACTAGCTGTCTCATCCTAATAAGATGATGGCACCGAGTTCCCATTTCCAGTCTTTTGAATATAACTGAAATTACTAGCGCGCCGCTGTAATAAGTGCTACACACGCGATCGTGCAAAATTTCTTTTTCTCAACTTTGTCGGGAGTTTTGCGATTATTAAACATATAGAGAACTGAACCTGTTTATCAAGTATTCTCGTTCAAGTTATACTCGTTTTTTTTTCACGGTCTCGAATTGAACGCCCGCGAGTATTGGATCCCTAGAGGAGGAAGCGCTTTGATTAAAGTCAGAATTCTTATCGAATAAATCCTTTCTTGATGAAAGCAAAAATGCATTTTCTTGGCAATTATATCGCATTTATTTAATTAAATATTACACAAAATGACAGTGCATTTCAGTTATATA